TTGTAAGTTCTAAGTTTAAGTTTAACTCCTCATCGTTTTTAACGATGAGGAGTTCGCGTAATTGTTACTGAAATCATGGTCGGTAGTAATCTGGTCGAAACTCCGAGTTTGAAGCTCCGCGTTAACTCAGAGATAACTCTGAGTTCCGTTTCTGAAACTCTGAGTTACGCTTATTGAAACTCTGAGTTCCGCTTTCGTAATTCCGAATTCCAACTCTCAAGCTCGGAGTTTTGCTTTGAGGAGCTGTTAAGCACTTTGCTGCAAAAGCGACGTTAAAGTAGGGACTCGAACCTGTATGGTCTAGCGTAAAGATCCTATCACTAAACCGCTAGACCATGACACACCCACGAACCCTAAAATTGCTTTGCCATAATGTACTCACTCATTCCATTAACACTTAGCAGGTCAAAACAAGTTATACCAAAGCCTCACTCATTTCCATTTCTATCGGGCAGTGATGGTTCATCACGAGGATTGGTCTTTTGCGCAGCTGAAAGCTTCAAACAATAGAGGAAGCTGATGGCATGCGCAATGATAAGAATTGACTATTAGGATTTGCGTACAGAATAAATCCTCCGGGCAAAGTTTGCCCTTCCATGATTTCGTCTTACTTACCGTATACCTACCGTAACCGTTCCATATGTCACCAGTGTATGTAGCAGATAGATTGTCCGTAATCTGCATCCCGAATGACTCCAGTGTACCAAATTTCGGCTAATTCCGCCGCTTTAATTCATCTACCGTAAACCTACCGTAGCCCCGTCAGATGACACTGCAGTATAATCTACATGTCATATTCGTTATCGGTGCCCCGAATAACCCCAGTGTACCAAGTTTCGATTAGTTTCGTGACTTTCTCCTATCTACCGTAAACCTACCGTAGCCCCGTCAGATGACACTGCAGTATAATCTACATGTCATATTCGTTATCGGCGCCCCGAATAACCCCAGTGTACCAAGTTTCGATTAGTTTCGTGATTTTCTCCCATCTACCGTAAACCTACCGTAACACCTCTACATGACCCCTTAGTAAAAAATGGGTACCATATGCGTGATTAGCGCACCGAATAACCCCCTGGGCCAAGTTTTTACAAAATTTCAAAATTTTGTAAATCACTGCGCACCACGATACCCCTATCATGCCTGCTTAAACTATGAGCAAAATTTACCCCGGAGGACTTTTTAGCTGCCCCTCTTCTTTTGCGCACTATTTCTCTTTCTCTGACCAAACTCAGAGTTATCTCTGAGTTCCACGATGGACTGGAACTCGCACCAAACTCAGAGTTATCGCAGACACTAGTTGCGCGTTTGGTGGCGCTGTTTCTTGTGCAGGACGATTTGGACAATGTTGCGCTACTAGGAATAAACTACGTGTTAAGGAGAATCCTGCCATATCATCGCTTTCCGGATATGATCTGTTCAAACACCTGTTAAGGGGGTCAAAAAGTTGCGCGTTAGCTCAGAGATAACTCAGAGTTAACTCTGAGTTATAACTTTGAGTTTCGATAGGTTTACTACCGACCCATATGATTAACAAGCATAATGTCCTTGATATGGAGATTAGGGTTGCAGTAGTAGACTTGCAAGAAGGAAAATGGAGTTATTTGGCAAGCGCATCCTCAGAATCAGGGTTGGATAGATAAGGTGCTCTAAAAAAGAATCCTGCTCAAATCGCAAGTATTCCTTCCTGCGGGCGAATCTACGGTCACTCATGACTTAGAACAGGCGCAGCTAGTGGCCACGCCTTGTCCGAGTTTCCGTTGTTAGGATGCTCTGGATATTTTGGATTGGGGCGCCTTTATGCACATTGCGCATGGCTCTTTCAATCTCTCTAACTTCGTCGTTTCTTCTCACGGTTTTTTAACATGTTTTTGCTTCGTGTATGTACAGGGCTTTACAACCTGAGTGTCACAGCCGCCCCGCTCGGCCGCCACGCTTAGGTTCGCGCAGCGTTCGTGGCACCAGGCTGGGCGTCGACTGAAGCTTGGCGAAATCCGGGCGATGCGCAGCAAACGCCGCGCGCGGCCTGAGCGAGGCGGCCGCGTTGGAGGAGCCGCGCAAGCGGAGGCTGTGACTCTTATGTTGAAAGGCCCTGTATATTATTGCTCACTGTGGTAATGTGATGACTTGTTTTTATTTGTGTTTGCCTATCTGTAAGCATAGCATATGCTCAAAACTGCCTTTGTAAAAATTTTTGTTTCAGGCTGCAGCAATATGTATAGTGCAACAAAAGATTATCCTAGTGAGGAAGTTAGTACACATTTGCGTTCTTGAGTGATGTGATACTTTTGTATTTTTTAATAAGTTAGATATTTAGTTAAATACCAAGTGTTTATATGTTAATTAGGGCGCCATCTAAATCTACTTAACCGGCTGCGCGGGCGGTCGCGCGCACACCATCGCTGCGTGCTGGGACCTCGCTTGCTGCCAGCATTGAGTTTGAAAACTTGCCGATGCTCTATGATTTCCTCATTAGCATTGTTGTCAATGTGCCTGATAACTTAACTGGTTTTAAGGCGAGCACTGAAGACCACATAAAGCAGCTGGACATCGAAAACCACTCAAAATATGTCACTTTCTCTTGGATTTATACCATACACATAGGACCAGCACCGTAATCGTACTTGTTTTCGTCGAGCGTATGACTGTCCCAAGCGAATGCCCATTAGCTATTGAAGATCTCCCCAACAGTTCGGAACCATATACGCTACATAACTTCTTGTACAGTAGAACCTTTCTGTATTGCTAGTTTTTTTCAGGTATGTCTTCTCGCATTTGGCCTTCGTAGGGGCCAACGCTTGGCTCTCCATAGAATTCTATGGTTTATTATATATTACAGTTTTGGAGCCAGTTTTTTTTTGTAATCAGTCAGTTAATACTATTTTATCTCTTTGATGATCGACTATTTAGCTTAGAAGAAGCCAGTTCACCTATTTCACCTATATAACTCACCTATGACAATGGTGGTGTTTTTGAGTCCCTTAGCCTTAAGATGATTAGTATTTTGAAGATGATTCTGCTGAACAAAAAGAAATTCAAAGTCCATCGGTTCGCTCGGCACAATAACAGATTCATTTCGCATGTTATGAAGGGCCGCGCTAGAATGATTTGATCAACAAGTGCTCATTATAGAGTTAGATATGGAAAACGGGTCAATCTTAACAGCCAAGGTTAGCTTCTCTAAGGGAATTTTCTTAGGAAGAGAAGAAAGAAGTTCTTTTGTAACAGAACTGCTATTTCTAACTTTTTCAAACTGTATATATGTACTATCAAATAGAAACAGTCGCAATGTCGCACACCTATCCCACTTGCTTAAGAACTTCCGACCCTGTTGGCTTGTCAGCAAAGTCACCTTAGATTAAGCGTCTAATATCAAAAAATTTGAAGTCGTAAAACGATACGTAGGAGTGTAAGAATGTATGGCTTTTTGGTGCTTACAACACTTTTATCACAACAAGACAATGCACCATACGTGCATTCTCAAGATCAAAGCAAATACCTGTCGTATCAACGCAAATCATTCTTACATCGCAACTGCCTTAAAGGAATCAGTGCTAGCAGCAAGCGAGCCTTAGGTCCCAGCACGCGGTGATGGCACGCGCGCGACCGCCCTCGCAGCCGGTTAAGTAGATTTGGTTGTGTGCCCTTTAGAACCGCTCTGACCCAGCGACAATAGGCCTGCTCCACGGCCACTGAGGCGCGCGCATGCGGTGCGTGCTTGGCACCGCCCAGAATGGACGAGCTGTCTGCCCAACATTTTCCACAACCTTTTTGAAAGTTATTCTTGCTCTTATTCGTCCAATTTATGTCTGATTGATCTGATATCAACATATTCTGACTGCTGATATTCTGCGAATCAATTCTATTGTATACTACTTGGAAAGTTCCTGTTCTTTAAGCTTGTTCTCATGGTTTATGTGACATGAGCCTAGCTTAGAGATCTAGAACATCCAAAAACTATTCTATTACTATTCTGCTGTATTCCTATTCACTATTCTATGCTACCGCTAGACTTTTATTCGATTGGAATGCGTCGGTAAGTACTTAAAAGGTTTGTGTCGTATGTTGCGTTTAGATTGTTTCCTCATTGTTGATTCTTACATCATGCTTCATGCAAGATTGTTCCATAACTCCACGCACGTTGTCATGTATACTAAGACATGAACCTTGCGTGAAGAGCTAGAACAATCAAGCTATGCATGAATTATCTTCTCCTACCATGATTTGGCATTTCGCGCTTCTACTGTAATCTGCATCTAGGTCATAGGTGTACATCTCTCAATGCCTTTGGGAGGTTTATGACGTGCGAAAGTCTCACCGTGCCAAGCAGAAGCATATAAAAAGGGTACTTAAACAGTATGATTAGCATAATCTTTGTTTGCTTTCGAGTCATCATGCTTTCTCACAAGTTTTACATTGTTCCTGTCAACTCACGCAATGAAAGTCATGTTCAAAATGCTTCTACCCCGCAAGCTACCTTGCGCCCTCTCCTTCCGCGTCCAGCTCCTACCCAGCTTGTGGTTCAAGCCCGCGCACCTCTCTATGTGCAAAAAATAATGCCAACAAATCCTCTTTTGATGCAATCTCCAGCTTCTCAAAGACTTTTGATGGAAATATAAGCGTCCGATAGGCTTCTTTTGCAAACGCCGCAGCCGGATAGCCTTCTCGTACAAACTTCGGAGGCTTCCACACCTTTGACAGCACAATCAAGCTTCAGCTTCTCAAGCCCAGTACCAGCGCAGCCCCCACAATCACCTCCATCTAGCTACACCTTCTCAAGCCCAGTACCAGCGCAGCCTTCTAGTAGCGTATCCTCCCAGCCCGCAGCTTCTTCATCTGCTCCTTCATCTAATTTTTCAGATATAACCATATATCAAGGAGAACGACAGGCAAGTAAATTTGGGAGGCACTATGTGCTAATTTACCGAATTCCAGGAGGATCTAGGTGCTACGCATTCGCTCTCCATAAGAGGAAGAAATTCTGCAAGGCCTTCAAGTGCATGTACTGTGCTAAAGCAGGATATCACACTCAAGTAGATGTAAGTTATCTACAACGTAGATGTAATGTCCACCCTTGTGCTCTAGGTAGTTGATGACGAATTCCAAGTAGACCCCTGCATGCTGCCGCACCATTGCATCCCCAAGAAGTACAAGGCGAATTATGTGCAACGCTTCATGTACGAAAACCTCCAGAAAATCCGAAGCGACCCTCATTTCGAAGATGCAGTGGTTAGAAAAATCTGGCAAGACATGCTCGACGCTCTTCCCCTACTGCAATACTACAGTAGAGAAGAAATAGAAGAGTTCATGGATGAATTCATGACATCGGCTACACGAAGAGAAGAAGAACGATAGCAAAGTCAGTAGAATTCAAGAAACAAAATGGGAGATTCACACTGTACCTTCAGGGCTGTGCAAAGTCATGACTTACCGAGGGCTGCTCTCGAAAACCTGCCCGACGATTTGATTAAGCTAGATGATGGAACTCAGTTTCTCCAACTAAAGCTGCCAGGCTTATACGTATACTACTCGAGAAAGACCTTGCAGAAAGCGGTAGAGAATGGACTGGTTGCCCTAGTAGCGGATGGGATACACAAACTCCCTAAGAAGAGCTTGGCAAAGACGGCCAACTGTATACCATTCACGGAGTTTGTAATGGTGGCATTGGTAAGTCACCACAGAACTACTTCGAAGAAGAGAACTACTTCGTTCTAGACGTCCCACTGATACACGTCCTTATGAAGAGAAAGAATCAGTACGACAAGGTTTTCCGAATGGTCAAAGAAGAGTTAGTAAACTATGATGTAAATCTTGAACACCTGAGAATCATCATCGACTTTGAGCGGGCAGTACTGGCTTCTATTAGAGTGAGATTCAGATAACAATAGTGAATAAGAATGTATACCCTGCAATGCATAGTCATGCAAAGTATTACAGAAACGTGTCAAACGTATTCAGTCTTTTTTAGAGTTCTGAGAGTCCTCATAAGGGAAAATCAGGCCCCAGTGCGCAAGACAATCATGGCTTTGAAAGGGAGTGATAGAGGGGCAATGTGCAAATTGAGGAACATGGAAAGGGCTTGTTTATCTTATCTCTCATTTTTACTTCTTGAACTTCAACAATTCACAAGCTTATTTAGAGGATAATACGCCGCTTGCGAAAGAAGGATCTGAAGCGTCGCCAGCGCATCAAAAAATATATGGAACTTCATCGCGCAGAACTCTTCCAACCATGTCAATCTACGCGCGTTTTAGTTAGATATTGCCAAACCATGTCCCATTTCATTTCTGATAAAGTTGTTTAGATATTGTACATAATAAAATTTTTAAACTGTCGACAGCATTTTCTCAATTACACAAGGGATCCCACAATTTTACAAAACATGTTAAAGCAAGTTTATTACAAGTCAACGGCATGGTCCCGGGTTACCATGCCGCTGAGAAATGGAAACAAGACAAACAATATATTACAACAACAAACAATAACAATAAACAAAATAAACAAAAAACGGTAACAAACGATGACAACAATACAATAACAAACAATAAATTAAAAATAAACAACAAAACAAGAAAAAAGAATCACCAGCCTTCTTTCCATTTCGCCATCGTTGTCGTCGTCGCCGTTCCCGTGATCGATCGTCATGGATTCTGAAAGAATCATTCTAGAAAACGAAAAAGCATTGTCAAAATATAACAATTTACCTTTTATTCTTGAATTCATCGGTGAAAAGGACATCAGTCGTCCAAAAATGCTGATAAAGTGCGGCTCATAATTATACGAACACCCCAAATTTTGAAAGTTTTTGGATTTTTTGGAAGAAACTCAAAAAGCCGTTGGTACCACGCGATAGAGCACAACCGAAAACGGTATACAGTTCACAAGAATGGAAATCGATGTCAATCTTAGGAGTGTTTTTGCGCCTAATGCGAATTTTTAGCGGTTCATAATTATACGAACACCTCAACAAAGGTCCATTTCTCATTCAAGATTGCAATCTTTCGGATCCCAATTTTTTGTAGAGTTACAGTAACAAAGTCTGACATATCTGCTACACACTGAACCCAGTGCAGCTCAAAAAGAGGATCGTTACTTTTTTCAGATGGCTCTAAATGCTTTTGGAGTGATTGCACTCCAAAAGCATACGTTCTTCTGTGGTTTACGCACTCTAATTAGCTTGTATTAAGGCTATGAGATAAAATAAGCTCTTTCGATAGATACTTTGTCTGACGCTTGGAAAATCTATGCGTTTTCGTGCCGTTTTTCAACTAAGTTCCAACCTTACCCTAGAGTTAGCACGATTTCGAGCCTCAAAACTCAGCTTCTCTCTCGCGCAAACATTTGATATGAAGCAGCTGCATTTCACGCATGATGTTGTATTCGTGCCAACTTTTTTGCGTTTTTTGTAGAACTGATCTTGAAGCTATGGAGCAAAAAACCAAATAAAGTTGTGATTGCAATAGTAAAAACAGTGGTTTTGGTGAAATGACGTCTGCGTGGCCAAAACAAGCGCTCAACGCTGCTGATTTTTTTCTATCCAAATACACAGTCTTGTGAACTACTACATACCATCTGCTTACTTCACTGTAGGGCTTCCGAAGCTGAGTTTTGAGGCCCGAAATCGTGCTGACTCTAGAGTAAGGGTGGAACTTGGTTGAAAAGCGGTACGAAAACGCATAGATTTTCCAAAGGTCAAACAAAATATTTATCGAAGGAGCTTATTTTATCTCATAGCTTTGGTATAAGCTAATTAGAGTGCGTAAACCACAGAAGAACGTATGTTTTTAGAGCGCAATCACTCCAAAAGCATTTAGAGCCATCTGAAAAAAGTAACGATCCTCTTTTTGAGCTGCACTGGCTACAGTGTGTAGCAGATATGTTAGACTTTGTTACTGTAACTCTACAAAAAGTTTGGACTCGAAAAATTGCAATCTCAGATGAAAAATGGACCTTTGTTTGAGGTGTTCGTATAATTATGAACCGCTAGAAATTCACATTAAGCACAAAAACACTCCTCAGATTGACATCGATTTCCATTCTTGTAGATCGTACACCGTTTTCGGCTGTGCTCTATCGCGTGGTACCAACGGCTTTTTGAGTTTCTTCCAAAAAGTCCAAAAACTTTCAAAATTTGGGGTGTTCGTATAATTATGAACCGCACTTTAGCTGCAAAAAATAAACGTTAGCATGCCAACATTAACACACGAGCGAAAACTGACACGGAAAATGAGAGAATGGACATTAATGATGGAAGGTTTGAGGATTAGGTAAAAAAATATGAATTAAAGAGGATTATAAATGATAAAAACATCAAAACAACTAATATATGAGAGCATTAGAAGATAAGAGCAAGACAAACGAAAAAAGAACCGAAACAAAGGATATTGTGAGCTAAAATAGTAAATTCTCATCAAGTTTCCGCCAAATCTCTGATTTTGGCAAAATGCCAAGATTCTACGGCGTAATGCGTCCAAAGGTGTACGAAGGTGTGCGGTAAACAACTCGTCCAATTCTGCAGGTCTGGCGTCTCTCACTGCTAGGCGGCTCTCGCCTAGCCAGTCGCTGCCGCGGCCTCGACCAATCACAGGCGCGCGCTAATTACGCTGCCCGAGCTAGCGGTTCTAAAGGGCCGTCTCCCAGTAGATTTAGATGGCGCCGTTAATTAGTTCTTGTGCAGACCTCGTCCAAGTTGATGAGTCGAACGGATAGAATGTGAGTAGACCATTCAACACTGGTACTGTAAGCCAGTTATATCAAGTAAATTTGAGCTATTATTCTTTTGCATCTTCTTCACAATACGACTTTTCTTCAGGTTAAACTTAGAAGAAGATTTGGAGCACTTCGAGCAAGGACGCATTCTGCGGTGGGATCTCGATTTTAAGATTATTTGAGCATTTCATTTTTTTCGATTTCAGCTATTGTTTGCAGTACACTGTAAAGTAGTCGCAGTCTGTTTTTTTTTCGATCGAGAATGAAGTATTTTTGTTCAATCTTCAAGACAAACAACGCAGATAGGAGAAAGAAAGCTGAATGCAATAGAACTGATTATGAAAGAAATTTTCGAGTTTGTCAAACATCAGCGAGTAATTGAATGCTTTTTATAATTTCACAAGAAAAAGGACTTAATAGTCTTTGAAGCGAAAGGGAACTGCTGTGCAGCATATGATCGTTTTGATTCATCTCGTCTGTGCGAACAATATCACCTGCTTCCTTTCTCCCTTCTCTGAACTGCCGCTCGTCTCAAGCTCGATCACTGCGCTGCATGATAACATACACACACTTCATCTTGTTTCCCAATTATCCTAGGAACAAACGATGAGACATCTTTCATGCCTCAAGTCCACTGAAAAAAGTTAGATTTGCAATAGCAAACTTTTGCATGAAAAGCCAGCTACGTTATTAGCAGACCCATCGCTGCCTAATTTCACACGTAACGTTTCTCTCAGAATATCAAAGAGTTATATTTCGAAAGACTTCCTAGATCAACGAAACCATGAGAAACGAGGAAAACCGTACTCGACGCTAAAGCTCAAGGAAATTAAGCAAAAGGAATGTAAAAGAAAGCATTAAGAGCATATATCTATGTAGTAGTAGGTCGATCCAGGCAGTAATCGCCGAGAACCAGAATTTCGAATGATAAAATAGTGAAAAATCGTGAGAAATCATTCCACTGTTACAAATCTGCTGGCTGAAGACCTCCGCAGTTGCGACTTCATAGGTTTTAAAGTGTAAGTGTTGTTCTACCAGACGGTGAAAAAATCAGTTTGATTTGAGGAGTGGCCGCCGAGAACGAGAATTTTGAAAAACCTTAAAAATCTTCTCAATTTCAGGTTGCTTAATGACAACTGACATTTAAACTCTTATAAACCCGGACTTTGAAGGTGTGTGATGTTGCGACTTCATAGGTTTTGTAGGGTGAGGTTTGCCCTATCAGGAAACATCGCCGAGATCCAGGCTCTTAAAAAAGCAGGTAAAAATTTTTTTCAGCTCATAACTTCTTCAGAACTGCATGAATCATGTTGCGACTTCATAGGTTGGATTCTCCTCATCAAGAGCTTTCAAATGATATATAATATGTGGGGGATTCACGCCTCTCACGGCATATGCCCGGGGGTGGAGTACCTCTCTTCACTAATTCTCCACTGGCGGCCTCCCGCCAATACCTTGAAATGGGCGGGGTGGAGAATCAGTGAAGAGGAGTACTCCACCCTGGCTTAGAGCCGCAAGAAACATTGAATCCCCCACATATTATATATCATCTGAAAGCTCTTGAAGAGGAGAATCTAAATTATGAAGTCGCAACATGATTCATGCAGTTCTGAAGAAGTTATGAGCT